GGGTCTCTAAAATTTGGGGGGCGCCCCAAAAAAATTGGGGGATCTGGGAAAACTGGAGAGAGAGAAATGCCAAAAATTGGGGGGAAATCCCAGAATTTTGGGGGGAAAACCCAAAAAATTTGGGGAGGTCCCAAAATAATGAGGGGGGGGGAAGTGGGGGAGGGCAAAATTTGGGGTTCCCAGTCCCGAACTGGGAGCGCTGACCCCGCTGTCCCCCCCCAGCAGAGGCCGCGGTGGTTCCGTCCTTACTGGGAGGGTCCCAGTTCCAAACTGGGGGGGTCCCGGGTCCAATTTGGATCTCCCAGTCCCATTTTAGGGGGTCCGAGTCCCAAATGTGGGGTTCCCAAAATAAATTTTGGGGTTCCCAGTCCCACTTTGGGGTTCCCAGTCCCGAACTGGGAGCGCTGACCCCGCTGTCCCCCCCCGCAGAGGCCGCGGTGGTTCTGTCCTTACTGGGAGGGTCCCAGTCCCAAACTGGGGGGGTCCCGGTCCCGTTTTGGGTTTCCCAGTCCCAAACTGGGGGATCCCGGGTCCCATTTGGGGGTCCCAGTCCCATTTTGGGGTTCCCAGTTCAAACTGGGCTGATCCCAGTCCCATTTTGGGTTTCCCAGTCCCGAACTGGGCGGTGCTGACGCCCTAAAAATTTGGGGGGAATCCAAAAGTTTGGGAGGTTCCAAATTTTAAGGAGGGGGGAGGTTGGGGAGCTCCCGAAAAAAATGGGGGCGAGGGGTGGGGGGGGGAATTTTGGGGATCCCAGTCCCATTTTGGGGTTCCCAGTTTAAATTTGGGGTTCCCAGTTCCAATTTGGGGTTCCCAGTTCAAACTGGGCGGCACTGACCCCGTTGTTGTCCCCCCCCCGCAGAGGCCGCGGTGGTTCTGTCCTCACTGGGAGGGTTCCAGTCCCAAACTGGGGGGGTCCCGGTCCCATTTTGGGGTTCGCAGTCCCAAACTGGGGGATCCCGGGTCCAGTTTGGGGGTCCCAGTCCCACTTTGGGGTTCCCAGTTCAAACTGGGCTGATCCCAGTCCCATTTTGAGATTCCCAGTTCAAACTGGGCGGCGCTGACCCCTTTGTTGTCCCCCCCGCAGAGGCCGCGGTGGTTCTGTCCTTACTGGGAGGGTCCCAGTCCCAAACTGGGGGGGTCCCGGTCCCGTTTTGGGTTTCCCAGTCCCAAACTGGGGGATCCCGGGTCCCATTTGGGGGTCCCAGTCCCATTTTGGGGTTCCCAGTTCAAACTGGGCTGATCCCAGTCCCATTTTGGGTTTCCCAGTCCCGAACTGGGCGGTGCTGACGCTGTTGTCCCCCCCCCCGCAGAGGCCGCGGTGGTTCTGTCCTTACTGGGAGCGCTGCCGGCCGAACTGGGAGCACTGGGAGCACTGGGGGGGCTCCAGCGGCACCTGCGGGGGCTCTGGGGGTCCCTGAGCGCCCCCCGAGCCCCGGGGGAGCCCCCGCGGGGCGCCGAGCCCGCCCAGTGCCCCCCCCTGAACCCCTTACTGGTGCCACTGGGATTGCTGCGGCGGGCGGCCTGAGGGCCCGCGGCACGGACCAAAACCCCCATTTGGGGGGGGGGCCCAAATCCCTGAGGGGCCCCAAAATCCCCAGGGGGCCCCAAAATTCCTTGGGGCGAGACCCCAAATTCCTGAATTTTGGGGGAGATCCCAAATTTCCTGGGATTTCCCAAGTTTTTGTGTGTGGGGGGGATCCCGAATTTTGGGGTGATCCCAAATTCCCCCTGCGCTTTCCCAGGTTTTGGGGGAGGGAGAGAAAATAAATGTTTGGATTTTCTTAAAGTTGGAGCGTTCGGGACTCGTTTGTGGCTGGACTGGGAGGGAACTGGGGATGGACTGGGAATTGTCTGGGAGGGAACTGGGATGGACTCGCCCGGACTCCCCCGCTCCGTTCTCCCCCAATGGTTCCGTCCATCTCGCGTTGGCCACGCCCCCTTGATGTCACGTGCCCCATGTTTATTCCCTCCTGCCACGTGACCCGCCCCGGTCGGTGACGTCAGTCACATGACGTCAGTCACATGAGGGACGCAGCACCGCCCGGATCCTTCCGCGCCTCCGCCCGGGGCCTTCCCGGGACCTCCCGGGGCCTTCCCGGGACCCCCGCCCCGTTACCGGGACCCCCTCCCCACTACCGGGACCCTTCTCCCGTTACCGGCACTGGGAGGAGCTGGGGGAGCTCCGCGAGGCCTTAGGAAGGGACTGGGACGGACTGGGCGGAACCGGGCTGAACCGTCCGCAGCTTGCGTAGCGCTGTGGGCAGCGCCCTTACGCCATCTGCGTAGCGCCGTGGGCACCGGCGTGGCCACTCCGAGGCGCTGGGAGGGAACTGGGCTGAACTGGGAACGGCCTGGGAGGCCTTAGGAAGGCACTGGGGAGTGACAGGAGGGAACTGGGACGAACTGGGAGGAACTGGGAGGGTCTGGAACGAGCCGTACCACTGAGGGCGAGGCCCTTACGCCATTTACGCAGCGCTGAGGGCACACCCCATTCCCTTACGCCATCTGCGTAGCGCTGAGGGCACTCCCTGTTTCATTACTCCATTTGCGTAGCGCCGCTCCGTTGGTGTTAACGGGCGCTCGTTACGCTGTTTGCGCGCCGTACGCCGCTGGCGCGGCGCGGCGGGGGCGGGCCCGTATCCCTGCGCGCTCCGAGGCTCCGGTGCAGGCCCGGTCCCGGTCCCGGTCCCGGTCCCGGCCCGGCCCCGTCAGGCCCCGGCCCCGTCAGGCCCCGGCCCCGGCCCCGGCCCCAGGCCCGGCCCGGCCATGAAGTTCCTGTACAAGGAGGAGCATCCGTTCGAGAAGCGTCGCTGTGAGGGAGAGAAGATCCGGAAAAAGTACCCGGACCGAGTGCCGGTGAGGGCCGGGGCAGCCCCGGGAACCCCCAAATCCCCCACGGGAACCCCGAAATTCACCCCGGGGACCCCAAAATCCCACCTGGGAACCCCAAAATTCAACCTGGAAACCCCAAAATCCCCCCGGGAACCCCGAACTTCCACCTGGGAATCCCAAAATTCAACCTGGAAACCCCAAAATCCCCCCCCCGGGAACCCGAAATTCACCCCGGGGACCCCAAAATCCCACCTGGGAACCCCAAAATTCACCCCGGGAACCCCGAAATTCACCCCGGGGACCCCGAAATTCACCCCGGGAACCCTAAAATTCCACCTGGGAACCCCCAAATCCCCCCGGGAACCCCGAAATTCCACCCGGGAACCCCGAAATTCCACCCGGGAACCCCGAAATCCCACCTGGGAACCCCAAAATTCCATCTGGGAACCCCAAAATTCACCCCGGGAACCCCGAAATCCCCCCCTGGAACCCCGAAATTCCACCTGGGAACCCCAAAATTCAACCTGGAAACCCCAAAATCCCCCCCCGGGATCCCCAAAATCCATCCTAGGAACCCCAAAATTCAGCCTGGGAACCCCAAATTTCCACCTGGGAACCCCAAAATTCCACCCAGGAACCCGGAATTCACTTCGGGAACCCCGAAATTTCACCCTGGGAACCCCAAAATCCACCTGAGAACCCAAAAATCCCTTCCAGGAACCCCAAAATTCAGCCTGAGAACCCCAGATCCTCCTCGGGAACCCCAAAATTCCACCCGGGAGCCCCAAAATCCATCCTGGAACCCCGAAATTTCACCCTGGGAACCCCAAAATCCACCTGAGAACCCAAAAATCCCTTCCAGGAACCCCAAAATTCAGCCTGAGAACCCCAGATCCTCCTCGGGAACCCCAAAATTCAGCCTGGGAGTCTCAAAATCCCCCCCAAGAACCCCAAAATTCCACCCAGGAGCCCCAAAATCCATCCTGGGAACGCCAAATTCACTCCAGGAACCCCAAAATTCCCAAATTCTGGGGGTTTTTCCTTCCTTGGTGACGTTCCCATCAATTTTTGGGGTTTTTACCTAAAATTCAGGTGCTTTTCCCACCAGTTTAAGGGATTTTCCCCCAAATTTGAGGAATTTTCTCCCAAAATTCCCAGATTTTTTTCCCCAAAGCCAGGAACATTTTCTCCCCCAAATTCAGGATTTTTCACCCAAATTCAGGGAAGTTTCTCCCTGAAATTCAGGAATATTTTCCCCAAATTCAAGGTTTTTTCCCCTAAAATCCAGGAATTTTTCCCCCAAATTTAAGGAATTTTTTCTTTCCCAAATTCCATTTTCCCCTCCAAATTCAAGAAAATTTTTCCTCCAAAATTCAGGATTATTTTTCCAAATTTAAGGAATTTTTTCCTCTTGAATTCCCATTTTTCTCCCCAATTTTTTGTGTTTTTTTTTTCCCCCAAAACTCAGGATGTTTCCCCAAAATTTAAGGATTTTTTTTCCTCTTAAATTCTCATTTTTCCTCCTAATTTTTTGTGGGTTTTCCTCCAAAATTCAGGATTTTTTCCCCAAATTTAAGGAATTCTTTCCTCTTAAATTCCCATTTTTCTCCCCAATTTTTTGTGTTTTTTTTCCCCCCAAAATTCAGGATTTTTTTTTCCAAATTTAAGGAATTTTTTCCTCTTGAATTCCCATTTTCCTTCCTATTTTTTTGTGGTTTTTTCCCTAAAATTCAAGATTTTTTCCCCAAATTTAAGGAATTTTTTCCTCCTGAATTCCCATTTTTCTCCCCAATTTTTGTGGGGTTTTTTCCCCCCAAAATCCAGGATTTTTGCCCCAAATTTAAGGAGTTTTTTCCTCTTAAAGTCCCATTCTTTGTGGGTTTTTTTTCCCCCAAGTCCAGGATTTTTTTCCCAAATTTAAGGAAATTTTTCCTCTTAAATTCCCATTTTTGGTGTTTTTCCCCCAAAATCCAGGATTTTTTCCCCAAATTTAATGAATTTTTTCCTCTTAAATTCCCATTTTTTGTGGGTTTTTTTTCCCCCAAATCCAGAATTTTTTCCCCAAATTTAAGGCATTTTTTCCTCCTGAACTCCCAGTTTTCTCCCCAATTTTTGTGGGGTTTTTGCCCCAAAACCCAGGGGTTTTGCCCCAAATTGAAGGCATTTCCCCGCAGGTGATCGTGGAAAAGGCGCCCAAGGCCCGGATCGGGGACCTGGACAAGAAGAAATACCTGGTGCCCTCCGACCTCACAGGTGCCACGTGGGGCATTTCGGCAATTTGGGGCAATTTTGGGAAATTTGGGGATTTTTGGGGTTTGGGGGAATTTTTTGGGTCGTAGTTCCAATTTTCTGGGGGGTTTTTTGGGGTGATTTCAGGTTTTTTTGGTGGAGTTCTGGGGTTTATTGGGAATTTTGGGGACTATTTGGGGTTTTTGGGATTTTTTTGGGTTGTAGTTTCAATTTTCTGGGGTTTTTTGGGGTGATTTCAGGTTTTTTTGGTGGAGTTCTGGGGTTTATTGGGAATTTTGGGGACTATTTGGGGTTTTTGGGAATTTCTTTGGGTTGTAGTTCTCATTTTCTGGGTTTTTTTGGGGTGGTTTCAGGATTTTTGGTGGATTTTTTGGGATTTTTGGGGTTTATTGGGAGTTTTTGGGAATATTTGGGGTTTTTGGGAATTTCTTTGGGTTGTAGTTCTCATTTTCTGGGTTTTTTTGGGGTGGTTTCAGGATTTTTGGTGGATTTTTTGGGATTTTTGGGGTTTATTGGGAGTTTTTGGGAATATTTGGGGTTTTTGGGAATTTTTTGGGTTGTATTGCCAATTTTCTGGGGTTTTTTGGGGGTGATTTGAGGTTTTTGGTGGATTTTGGGGTTTTTTGGTGGAGTTTTGGGGGATTTTTGGGATGATATTTCCAAATTTCTGGGTTTTTGTGGGGGTGATTTGAGGATTTTTGGGGTGTTTTGGTTGAATTTTGGAGATTTTTGGGAATATTTGGGGGGTTTTTGGAATTGTTGGGGTTTATTTCCAATTTTCTGGTATTTTTTTGGGGTGATTTCAGGTTTTTTGGTGGATTTTTGGGGTTTGTGGAAAAGGCGCCCAAGGCCCGGATCGGGGACCTGGACAAGAAGAAATACCTGGTGCCCTCCGACCTCACAGGTGCCACGTGGGGCATTTCGGCAATTTGGGGCAATTTTGGGAAATTTGGGGATTTTTGGGAATTTTTTGGGGTTGTAGTTTCAATTTTCTGGGGTTTTTGGGGGTGATTTGAGGTTTTTTGGTGGATTTTTGGTGGTTTTTTGGTGGAGTTTTGGGGTTTATTGGGAATTTTGGGGATTTTTGGGGTTTGGGGGAATTTTTTGGGTCGTAGTTCCAATTTTCTGGGGGGTTTTTTGGGGTGATTTCAGGTTTTTTTGGTGGAGTTTTGGGGTTTATTGGGAATTTTGGGAATATTTGGGGGGTTTTTGGAATTGTTGGGGTTTATTTCTAATTTTATAGTTTTTTTGGGGGTGATTTCAGGTTTTTTTGGTGGAGTTTTGGGGTTTATTGGGAATTTTGGGAATATTTGGGGGGGTTGGGGATTTTTTGGGGTTGTAGTTCCAATTTTCTCGGGGTTTTTTGGGGTGATTTCAGGTTTTTTGGTAGATTTTGGGGGTATTTTAGTTGGAATTTTGGATTTTTTTGGGAATATTTGGGGGTTTTGGGATTTTTTGGGGTGATATTGCCAAGTTTCTGGGTTTTTGTGGGGGTGATTTGAGGATTTTTGGGGTGTTTTGGTTGAATTTTGGAGATTTTTGGGAATATTTGGGGGGTTTTTGGAATTGTTGGGGTTTATTTCCAATTTTCTGGTATTTTTTTGGGGTGATTTGAGGTTTTTTGGTGGATTTTTGGGGTTTTCTTGGTGGAGTTTTGGGGTTTATTGGGAATTTTCGGGACTATTTGGGGTTTGGGGGAATTTTTTGGGTCGTAGTTCCAATTTTCTGGGGGGTTTTTTGGGGTGATTTCAGGTTTTTTGGTGGATTTTTGGGGTTTTCTTGGTGTTTATAGGGAATTTTGGGGATTTTTGGGGTGATTTTTCCAAATGTCTGGGGTTTTTTGTGGGTGATTTGAGATTTTTTGGTGGATTTTGGGGGTTTTTTGGTGGATTTTTGGGGTTTATTGGGAATTTTTTGGAATATTTGGGGGGTTTGGGGATTTTTTGGAAATTTTGGGGACTATTTGGGGTTTTTGGGAATTTTTGGGGTTGTAGTTCCAATTTTCTGGGGAGTTTCTGGGGTGATTTCAGGTTTTTTGGTGGATTTTGGGGGTTTTTTGGTGGATTTTTGGGGTTTATTGGGAATTTTTTGGAATATTTGGGGGGTTTGGGGATTTTTTGGAGTGATATGTCCAAATTTCTGGGGGTTTTGGGGGTGATTTCAGGTTTTTTTGGTGGAGTTTTGGGGTTTCTTGGGAATTTTGGGGACTATTTGGGGTTTTTGGGAATTTTTGGGGTTGTAGTTCCAATTTTCTGGGGAGTTTCTGGGGTGATTTCAGGTTTTTTGGTGGATTTTGGGGGTTTTCTTGATGGAGTTTTAGGGTTTATAGGGAATTTTTGGGAATTTTTGGGGTGATATGTCCAAATTTCTGAGGTTTTTTGGGGGTGATTTGAGGATTTTTGGGTGTTTTGGTTGGAATTTTGGAGTTTTGGGGGAATATTTGGGGGTTTTTTTGGAATTGTTGGGGTTTATTTCTAATTTTATAGTTTTTTTGGGGGTGATTTGAGGATTTTTGGTGGATTTTTGGGGTATTTTGGTTGGAATTTCGGAGTTTTTTGGGAATATTTGGGGGTTTATTTCCAATTTTTTGGGTTTCTTTGGGGTGATTTGAGGTTTTTTGTTGGATTTTTGGGTGGAACTTTGGGGATTTTTGGGAATTTTTGAGGATTTGGGGGGAATTTGGGGTCTTCTGGGGAATTTTAGGGGCTTATTTCTAATTTTCTGGGGTTTTTGGGTGAATATTTATTTGGGGTCTTCTGGGAAGTTTTAGGGACTTATTTCTAATTTTCTGGGTTTTTTGGGTGAATATTTGGGAGATTTGGGGTTTTTGATGTAATTTTGGGGGGGGTTGGGGGAATTTTTGGGGGATAATTTGGGGTTTTTTGGTGAGATTTTGGGGGTTTTTTGGGTGAAATTCTGGGGTGTTCAGAGGTGATTTGGGGATAAGTTTGGGGCTATTTTGGGGAATTTTTGGGGGATAATTTGGGGTTTTTTGGTGAGATTTTGGGGGTTTTTTGGGTGAAATTCTGGGGTGTTCAGAGGTGATTTGGGGATAAGTTTGGGGCTATTTTGGGGAATTTTTGGGGTGATTTTTGGGGTTCTAAAGCCATTTTTGCCCCTCTAGTGGGGCAGTTCCATTTCTTGAGCCGGAATTTGGGGGATTTTTGGTGCTTTTCCCTGATTTTTGTTTGGTTTGGGCTGATTTGGGGTTTTCACTCCATTTCTTGGGGTTCTAAAGCAGTTTTTTGGGATTTATAGGGGGTTTTGGGGCAATTTTTGGGGATTTCTTGCAGCAAATTTTTGGGTTTTGGGGTTTTCTAGGGCGATTTCTTTGTGTTTTGGGGTTTTTTTGGGCTGATTTTTGGTTTAATTTTTCTGGTTTTGGGTTTTTTCCAGCTGATTTTTCCGATTTTTGGCTTTTTTTAGGATTTTTTTTTTGTTTGTTTTTTGGGCTGCTTTTCCCATTTTTCCCTGATTTTTGGGGTTTTTCACTGATTTTTGGGTGTTTCCAGCCTTTGTGTTTTGGGGTTTTTTTGGGCTGATTTTTGGTTTAATTTTTCTGGTTTTGGGTTTTTTCCAGCTGATTTTTCAGATTTTTGGCTTTTTTTAGGATTTTTTTGTTGTTTTTTTGGTCTGCTTTTCCCATTTTTCCCTGATTTTTGGGGTTTTTCACTGATTTTTGGGTGTTTCCAGTGGGGCAGTTCCGTTTCCTGATCCAAAAGTGGATCCACCCCCAGGCTGGGGATGCTCTGCTCATTTTTTGGGCTGATTTTGGGTTTTTCACTGATTTTTGAGCTGCTTTTTCTGAGTTTTGAGGTTTTTTGGGGCTGCTTTTCCTTTTCCCTGATTTCAGGCTGATTTTTGCAGTTTTTGTGGGTTTTTTGGCTGATTTTTGTGGTTTTTTGGGCTGAGTTTTCAAATAGTTTGAGTTTTTTGGGCTGATTTTTCTGGTATTTGGCAGTTTTTGGGCTGATTTTTTTAGGTTTTTGAGCTGATTTTTCTGGGTTTTTCTTATTTTTTCACTGATTTTTGGGTGCTTTTGGTGTTTTCAGTGGGCCAGTTCTATTTCCTGATCAGGAAGAGGATCCACCTGCGGGCTGAGGACGCTGCTCAGTTTTTGGGTGGATTTTGGGTTCATTTTTGGCATTTTTTAGGTATTTGGCTGGTTTTGGGCTGATTTTTTTTTGGGTTTTGAGCCGATTTTTCTGGGTTTCTCTTATTTTTTCACTGATTTTTGGGTGTTTTTGGTGTTTTCAGTGGGTCAGTTCTATGTCCTGAACCAGAAATGGATCCACCCATGGGCTGAGGACGCTGCTCAGTTTTTGGGTTGATTTTGGGTTGATTTTGGGTTTTTTTAAGCAGGTTTTTTTTGGTTTTTGGGTTGATTTTGGTGGTTTTTGGGCTGATTTTGGTGTTTTTTGGTGTTTTTAGTGGGCCAGTTCTATTTCCTGATCAGGAAGAGGATCCACCTGCGGGCTGAGGACGCTGCTCAGTTTTTGGGTGGATTTTGGGTTAATTTTTGGCATTTTTTAGCGGTTTTTTTTGGGTTTTTTCTGGTTTTTAGGTTGATTTTGGGCTGATTTTGGTGTTTTTGGATATTTCTGGTGGGTCAGTTCTATTTCCTGATCCGGAAGCGGATCCATCTCCGTGCCGAGGACGCCCTGCTCAGTTTTTGGGTGGATTTTGGGTTCATTTTTGGCATTTTTTAGCGGTTTTTTTTGGGTTTTCTCTCGTTTTTAGGTTGATTTTGGGCTGATTTTGCTGTTTTTTGACCTTTCTGGTGGGTCAGTTCTATTTCCTGATCCGGAAGCGGATCCATCTCCGTGCCGAGGACGCCCTGCTCAGTTTTTGGGTGGATTTTGGGTTCATTTTTGGCATTTTTAACCCGGATTTTTTTGGGTTTTGGGTTCATTTTGGGTTGATTTTGTGTGTTTTTGGTGTTTTTAGTGGGCCAGTTCTATTTCCTGATCAGGAAGAGGATCCACCTGCGGGCCGAGGACGCTCTGTTCTTCTTCGTCAACAACGTCATCCCCCCCACCAGCGCCACCATGGGCCAGCTCTACCAGGTCCCAAAACCCCCCAAACCTCCCCAAAAATACCCCCAAAACACCCCCAAAATACCCCCAAAACCTCCCCAAAAATAACCCCAGAACACCCCCAAAATATCCCCAGAACAGCCCCGAAAACTTCCCAAAAATCTCCCCAAAACTGCCCCAAAAAAGTCTCCGAAACACCCCAAAAACATCCCCAAAAACATCCCAGAATATCCCCAAGACATCTCCAAAGCTTCCTCAAAAATATCCCCAAAACATCCTGAAAATAACCCCAAAATCTCCCCAAACCATCCCCAAAAACTCCGCCAAAATCTCCCCAAAAAC